CCCGGAATGGATGTGATCAGTATGGATCGCCTTGTAGTGTGCTTCTTTCATCAGCACGCCGAAAGCCAATTATTGCTCCAATTGGAAACATCACTGAAACCCCACGTAAGTATTTCAAAATTCTTTTCATTCGATTTCAGTCTAGGTAGAATGCTACCCAAAGTTCTAATATTTTAGTATTCTTCAACGTAGCAAAGGAAAGACGATGCGTATCTAATGCCACAGAGGTGGACTTCGATCCTGACAGCACTTGTCTTCCCAATGAGAAATGCATTAACGGAGAGTGCAGAATGTACGTTGGTAATTCACAAAGAAAATGCTTCGCTTTCACAAGCATAGTTGATCTCAGGAAACTGTGGCCCGGCGAGTATGGATGTACAAGCGATGAAGAGTGCTCCTCACGTTGCCCTAACACTTATTGTGAAAAAAAGAAAAGTGACAAAAATGTCGCACAATGCCAGTGTCGCGACGGACAACTTCTTTTTGGACGATGCTGTCAGTAAATCAGAGATTCAGAACAAAATTGCTCTAAATTGAACAGCCTAAATCTCTATTGAAGTTTTGTTTCAGTTTCTCAGTGTCCTCAAGGTTTCCATGAATCCGGTGCCTACTGTATGCATGACGATGAAGACGCTTTCTGGACAGACGGTGACGCACAGGATCGCATCAAAGCCCTTTTGAACGCCTCACCATGCTGAGCCAACACTGACCTTCGAAGGAAACACTAATTTAAGAGCACTCCAATTATACAATTATGAGATTTTGATCAAATAATGCTTCGTAGCATTGCCATGTTGCTGTGATATTTCACGGTGCTTTCATAAAAATCTAATTTATATTTTTTGTTGTAAATATTGTAGATTTACTTGATATAAGTATATAATAAATATTGACAACTTCGTGCTGATTTCAAAAAGCCAAGCTTAGCTTTGCTTGCTTAAACTTCACTTATATAATTTTATTAGATTAAGGGAGTTACTCGCACAATTGGGTGCACTCCTATAAAAGCCAAGGCGTAATCGAGAGCACGATT